CTCGACCTCGCCTTTAAGAGAGGGCAGACGAAATAACTCGAGCGGTACGTTGTTTTTGTCTAACTAGCAGACGCGCATCAAGGAGGGAAGTCAAAGGACTCCCTGGCGAGGTGTCCCGGGGCGCCGAGGTTTTTTTTGCTTAGAACCGAGGCAAGTTCCCTCCCAAATACTTTTTCCTTCCATTCGTGTGCGGCGAGACCCCTCACTCTTTAACGGCGTCGGCGGGTTGGCGCAGTTAACGTCGTCTGCTTTACGTCTGCTAGTCAAAGCGGTCAAAGCGATGGCTGCTTTACCTTTGCTGCGTCTGTCGGAGATTCACCGCTTTTTCATCGGCGAGAGTCACCGTTGCCTCGGGAAACAAGGAGATAACAAGAGGAAGAAATTGACATTTTAATCTAAAACGGAGGTCAGCAATCAAAGTATAATACGGGAAGGGTTCACAAGGGTCGCGCGGGCATATTCCATTCAGCACACCGGCCGGTCGTGGGCAGACGGTCGCCGAGTCGGTCGCGGAGAGCCTGCTAGGCCTAACTGCCCAGCTCGTTTGGTCGCGTTCGGTGGGATCGTGGCCGTGGGAGCTTTTCCCGGGTGTTTGTGGATCCAGCGTTCTTGTTCGTCGTAGTCTGTTTCAGGTACTTTTTACTTTTTTCTTGCTGCTTGAAATCGGGACGCGTCAGAACCGCGCGTAAAACAATAAACGTCCGTGGGTCGTCGCGACCGCGACGTTGTCGGCCATGCTGATTTGATCGTAAGAAGTGCGTAAGACAGCTTCGGAGCTGTCGTAGGATTTTGTCGTAACCTGCGCAAAACTTACGAAAATTTCGTTTCGTGAATACGAATTTGTTCTTAAGTTTTGTCTTACGCACATTTTTGGCGTAAGATCGTTTCGTGAATCTGGCCTCTGCACTTCCGAAAGCCGCAGGAAAGGTAAGACAGACGCAGACGACGTTGCGAGCAGACGACGTTGCAAAGGAGCAGACGACGCTCAGATAGGGGGGCGCGATCAGCCAATCAGGGCTCGGCGTTCTGACGTCACCGCTACCCCCTGCGCGAGAAGCAGACGAACTTGCCCTCCGCATTCCCTCTTTATCAGTGACTATCCTATTGCCGTGTTCTATTTCTAGAAATTCTTTTTTCAGCGCATATCACTTTTCATCTTCCAACGCCTCTCTTGTATGCTGCTGTCCCAAGAGGAAATTTTCTCTGCAAGAGCGTACCAACTGCATCTTTATAACGATCCTGATAAAGGGTACTAATTAAGTTTTTATGTTCATTATGTCCTTAGTTCCATGGCCAGGATTATTACACTCAAGTTCGTATAAAAGATGCAAGTCACGTGCATTGAAGCTGTTTTTCTAGATGGTACTTATGAAACTTGAAAGTGCTTGCTTCGCCGATTGGAAGCTGCTTTACTTCCCGTTTAAAGGTCGCTCAGCGTCACATGTTCTGTTTTCTTGCCCGCTTGTTCAAGTAGTTTACGCCGCTCGGCCAGGAATAATTCCTCCTTTAGCAGATTGGCATTTAGTTTCCACAGCCTACACCCTTAGAAAACAAGTATATATAGTCCTCTCTAAAGAGAGGAACGGTCTTGTAACCTATGTTCCTTTAGAAAGGGAGAAACGTTCGTCCCTAAAGCATGGGAGCAAAGTTCCTCCGTCACCTGCATCTCATTGTGGCGGCCCCGAATTGAGCAAATCGAGCTCAATAAGGCTTAACGAGGACGCTACGTCTCTTGTACGGGACGAGAGGAGCAGCAAATAAAAGCGTAACTCGAGCTTTCCGCGAACTGTGTTTATTTCCGAAGCCAGATTCCTCCCGCAGGTAAAGAAACTTGCGTTTCGAAAGCAGTCACTCAGTCTTCTCGTCGTCAGCACTGCGATGTTAAACGGAGACAACCGATACCCAGTTACTTCGCGTTTTACGTCTTACCTTTGCTGTTCCTTGAGCCACAATTCATTCGTCAACCGCACATCACGGAGGAGTGGTAAACCATTCGCGAAACCAAGAGCCTCTCTCAAAAAGAGCGAATTCAAAGCCGCCTAGTTGCACGGTAACTAGAAATTATGGCGAAGCGTGCAATTTTTCTTGGCACTCCAAACGTGGCAAACAAGTTCCGTAACTCCTTGATTGTTGCGTTTGACACATGCTGCTTATCACTCGCACTTCCAGACACTAGGTATATGCGTCGGCGATAAGACTTTCCCTTCCACAGGCACAGAAAAATCGATGAGAACTGTATTCCATGCAGTTGACGGCCGTCTCCAATTTTCCATGGGTGCCTTAAGTTTGGTTTTTCTGGTTTGCTTGGCATTGATTACTCTACGCCACACATGCTTCAATGTCATTGTCAATGCCTGGTCACCATATGTAACGTCTGGCGCAGGCTTTCCTGGCTACGACTCCACGGTGTTCTGAGTGCACCAGAGCCAGATCTTCAGGCAGTAGCGTCACTGGTTTGACAACACGTATTTTTCCCGTGTTAAAAACCCTCGTTAGGTCGCCAATTCAATAATATTGGTCTTGAATGATTGAAATGCACCCTCATTGGGGGTTCTGACCTTTCTGGTCTGGACTGCGCCGTACACACACGAACGAATAGCATCTGTTTTAATCTTTTTAATCTTTTCCGCCAGTTTCTCGACCGTAATCGCCGGCCTGGTCATCGCTTCCAGCATGAGCACATCTCCGGGCGGGTGTGATTTGTTTTGGTTTGCCGGTAACGACAAAACAAAACTGCTCAACGCATCTGCAGTCTGATTTGTTTTTCTAGGTCGGTAGATGATACCATAGTCATAAGCTGTGAGCTTAATGCAATGTGTTTTTATGCGTGGCGAAAGCACGGGAGGAGCTGGGATCCGTGGGCCCGAAATCCCCAGTAATAGTTGGTGATTCGTTGTAATGGTCACACGTCAACCGGAAATGTATTGGTGAAAGCGGTTTGTATAGCGTAAACTGTCGCTAGCCCTTCTTTGTCCAGCTGAGAGTAGTTTCTCTCTAAGACTTTCCCAGCGTCCTAGAAATGTTGCACGGTAACGAACAAGGAAACGAAGCTCTTGTGGCTTCGTTTCCTTGTTCGTCCAGATGTGCCAACGCTGCACAAATGCCGTATTGCGACGCATCGCAGGGCAATATCAGCGGTTTATTATGATCGTACTCCGTTAGAACTGTGCGTTCCGCAATGGCTTGCTTTAGTTTCATAAACGCCTGATGGTGTTGTGAACCTCAATGCTATGATGTCTTTCTCAAGTAGCGTGAACAGATCCTTGGCGAACCAATAATAGAATGCTAGGAGCACTAGAAACGATTGTAGCGTGACTCGGAAGGTCGGTTTCGGCATCTCTCTGATGGCCTTTAGTTTATCTTCAGTGGTCTGTACTCCAGCAGCATTTATTTTATGTCCGAAAAACCGGACTTCTTAAGTTCCAAAATGGCATTTGGCCTATTTAAGCGAAGTCCAGCGCTGTCCAGACTGCTTGAAACTGCCCCAAGTGGATCGAGGTACTCACTCTTTGTGACTCCGTTGATGATGACATCTAGGTAAATTCCCACGCCGGGTAGGCCCGCCAGGACTGTCTCCATCCACTGGAAAATTGCCGGGGTAGCCGAGATTCCAAACGCCATCCTTTTGACTCAGTATAGTCTTTTTATAGTGTTGATGGTGAGGACCTCTGCCGCCTCCGCTGTCGACCGCAGCTATTGGTAGTCATGGGTGAGATCAAGAGTGAAAACATGGTGTCTTCCTGCACGTTCACTAGCAGCTCAGTTATAGTTGGCATCGGATATACCGCCGGCTTTGCAGCGGCGCTCATGGTTCTCCGATGGTATCCATACATTCTCATGGTGCCGTCTTTTTTCTTACGATCACTACCGGTGTGGCCCAGTCGGAGTGCTGTGTTGGTTTGATTATGCCTTGGTTTTGGAGCATCCGTAGTTATGTTTTTACTGCAATGCGCATTGCTAAGATAACAGGTCGAGCTTTTAAGAAGCAAGATGCCACTCTCTCTTTTAACTCCAGATGCACTGGGTGTCCCCTGTGCCTGTTGATCTCTGGGCTAGTTGGTTTTTCATTATTTGCGTGAGATGATTTAATTCTTAACTTGCGGGGTGTACCGTACGTTGTTCGCCTCATATATAAGTCCAATAAAGCTTTGGTTTGGCTAGTTGGTTTTTCATTTTTGTTCCGCGCTGTTGAGGTTTACAAACTTGGACAAAGAAGGACGACACTTACACATAAAAGGCGCAAGTAACAACAGGTTTATTTTCCCTTCCAAACAAGCATGGCTGAAAGAAAAACACATTGAAAAGAAAAACGAGGGGCAGACATAATCAGATCTAACAGAGTCATGCAACTACGCATCTCTAGGTCAGATCTTGGCTGCGGCGGGCCGCCTCGGTGGCTCCGAGGCGAGAGCGCTGGCCTACGGAACCCCATGTGGCGGGTTCGAATCCCGGCCGAGGTGCCCGCAATCTGACGGAGGCTTATTGCGGAGGAGGCGCCGTGTAACCGAGCTTTCGGTTGCACGTCAAAAGATCCCCAAGTGGTCCAAATTAATCCTCAGTCCTCCGCTGGGGCGTGCCAGATGCCCGTCGTTGGTTTGGCACGTAAAACCCCCAAATTTGACTTTGGCTGCGGCGGCCAATGCACATGTCCGCAACCCATCATGATGCGGCATCTTTTTTAGCAAGTCTATTTTTTTTTTTTTTTATTAAGAGAAACGAACGGTTCGCTTGTCTCGATGCGTTTGCTCAGAGCACGTTTAGTTTGTTCAAAATCCGTATAAATCCTTAAAAAAAAAAAAAAAAAAAAAACGATTGTCGCTTGTCAAATCTTTTTACGTGCTGTTTATACTTCAAGCTGTTGTCGAAAAAAAAAAGCTCTGGCTTTGTTTGCTATAAGGTAAAACTGTGATCTAACCCCACGAGGCGTTTTATTTACCATATATCTTCCGTCTCTTTCTTCAGGCTGATGTTGGCCAAGCGAGACATGCCAGATGATGAGTCGAGCTCGAATTACGTTCCGGACCACGTTCGTGCTGGTCACCACGGTCAACATCCTGGTGATCTACAGCATCGGCCGCTTCTGGATGTTCGCCGTCGGCCCGTACACGTCCCGCCACGTGAGTGCCGTGGGACACCGGCTCAAGACCTCCGGATGCACGATGCCGCAGTTCGACCCCTTCGACCCGTCCGTGAGCCGCTACTTCAGAAGAGCTCGAGACAAGAGGTGCCCCGGCAATCCCGATTTCATCTATCTGCGGTGGGTGAACACTATGGCCCTCCCGACTCAGATGTGCGCTCTTTCAATTCCTCCTAGGAATACCGGCGTCACGCATAGTTCAATGCTCGGTTCTGCCAACATATGCCGCTGTGGTGGCGCTGCTGTCGGCATGACGCGGGCTCTGCTTGGCGCATGCGCAGAAGCTTCCGCGAATCGGGTTTGTGCGCACGCCCTGTTCCCTCGCTTGGTGTGGTCGAACGCGGCCTCGTTTGTAAACGGCGCATTGGCGTATAGCCCTGATCAACGTAAGCTGAAGCGACCGATCGTTACAGATAGTGCAAGAAATGCGAGTCGTTGCCGAGCATCTTATCATTACTCAGCGGACAACTAGATTGAGCTATTACCGCATAAAAATCTCGAAGAATCAATCACGAGGCAAACCAGTGTTAACATCCCACGCACTGTTTGTGAAGCTGTCGGCGACCGTGCATGGTAACATCCGGAAGATACCCCTGGTCCCGTACCGAGACGAAAATTATTAAACGGAAGCAAGAAAGAGCGCGCATATCGACTACGGTGCGGTGCCGATGTTGCCTGACTTAGCCTGGTCAAAAAACGAACGCTTTGGTCGACGTCCAGAACGAACGGGACGCAAAGCGTGGGTACGCGATATAGCGTAAACGCCTCGAAGTGAGGTAGACTTATAGGCTCATTCACGCATTTGCGACTCCTTAGGACCGTGTGCATCAAACCATATTTAAATCTCTTACGACGAAAGCACAGACTGGCACCATCGCCAGTCTGTTCCGCGCGAGACACGTGCCGCGCGCCACTTCTGGGAAGAACATGGCGTCTGAAATCTCGCTCAGTGCTGCGCTGTGCCGCCATGATCTTCTAAAGGGCTGCGCGTTGCACCTGCCTCGGCCATCGACGCACCCTGCGCTACTTTTGAAACATGAAAGGGCTTTAAAAGAAAGTAAAGCCCCTCGATGTGTTTGCTTTTGTCTTGCAAGTAGCGTCAAATGCGCCGTGCTCGAGGCCGGTCCTTTGAAGCAAATGACAACGAAGCACTGAAATGAGCGGCCTCAGCAAAGGATTTCTCATCGACGAAAATAGTGATAAAAGAACTTCGATTTTGACGGTGTTGGCAATGTTAGTTTCAGAGCGCCATGATATCAAGCTTCCACTATGCCCATTACAAACACCATCGAACTTGTTCTTCGAAAGGTAATGACGTCACGAAAGGAAACCATAGGAGGGCGCAACCAAAACATCTAGCCGCCAGTAGAAGCGAACGACAGACCAGCGACCCTCACTGTTCCCATAAAGCCTCACGTGCACCGTTTGAGGGTGAGTGCAACTTTCCAGAAAGGTCCATACGCGAGCGCGAGTGCCGGTGCGCTCGCAGTTCCAGCAGCGGAAGATGGCCTCTCCTACGGGAACGCCGGTTGGACTCGGTAGCCATTGTGTGCGGCCAATAACACAAAACAGATTGCTTTCATTCTAGAATGCGCGGCCAGTATGTGTGCGTGTTTCCCCCCTTTTTTTAATGGTAATTTACCCAGGTAGTCATTTAATAGACCGATCTCACCAGCCAGTTTGACTACGCCACCGCCGCCACAATGCATCGAGGAACCTTAGTCTTTCTGCGCGTGCGACAACCTCGCTGGGGCTCTGCGTGTGTAGAGCACGAGACGGCACGAGCCCTCGCAAGTACGGCCGTCTGTCTCCTGTAAACTAAAGTTATGGCGGCGTCACGCATGCTTCGAATGCTTGGTGAGATCGGTGTATTGAAATCAAGTATGCTGTTTTTTGTTTTGTTTTTATCTGCCATTACCCAGCAGCACCCGGAGGCACTATTGCAAGGGGGGGGGGGGGGGGGGGTGAGAGAACAGTTACATTAGTCATGATCATGTTGATACGCTCACAAGGAAAAAGAAAATTCATTGAGGAGGTACGGGCTTAAAGTGTTATTCCGGCTATTATTTGAGTTACCTCAAGTAACTTTATTTTCTGAATCCCCTGCTTTTACCCTTTCCAGAATGCTATGTAATATCACAAAGTTCATAATAGTTATCGGGAAATCAGAAAATGAAAATCATGCAAAAACCAACATTTTAATCTATCGGAATTTCTCAGTGCCTTGAAGTCAGTGGCAGGCAGGCTCGCCAGTCCAGCAAGCAGTCTAAGAAATAAGACTATGCCAAGTATTTATTCCGTGCCGGTGCGCGGGCACAAGAGCGAGCTTCCAAATGATTAATTTGACACAATGAAACTGCTTGGAATCATTTGGGAACCTATTCAACAGTCCAAAGATTGAAGCCCTGCCTCCCGCTATCGTCACTTTTTCATTCTCGCCAGTAGGGACTTTCTGTTTGAAAAACACGATGAGGACCAAATTTATAAATTCAATAACTTCGCGAAAAAACAATATTTTGACCTAATATATGGGATACTATTTAAGCCGATGTTTCTTGGTGTGTTCAGCGAATTTTCAGACAAATCAGGGACAATGAAGAAATCGCCGCAGTGAACCTTTACATGATTAGCCCGCCGTTGAAACTAAAATTAAAAGCAAACAATTCTCATGACTGAAAAAGTAATCCGATATATTAAAAATGTGAGCAACGCAATTCGACTGCCATTAACCCGAATGTCAACACGAACGCTAATAGTCGCAATTTCGTTATGCTTAAAGCTATAAAACCGGATAGTAGGACACCGGCTTTTTAAAATATGCTTAAAAGCAATAAAGACGGACAGTAGGACATCGGCTTAATAAAAATATGCTTAAAGCCATAAAACTGGATATTAGGACATCGGCTTAATGTATACCACTGAAAAACTCAACTGTCAATAATAAAATAAATGCTGTTCAGAAGATAAAATTCGTGAACGGGTCGGTGATTTTCTTTACCTAATTGCTCGAAGGTTTCTACCAGCGGGAATGGTGAAACGCACGAAAAAGTTTGGCCCACATTACTTCCACGATTTCGTTCGTGCTTACTGGAAGAAGCAGTCGAGGCTGTTCAAACCGATTGGCAAAAATAAGTTCACGAAACACGAATGGCAGGTTAAAGGAAAATATTCTCGGCTTATCTTGATATCTTTGCGGTCAGGTCAAATTTATATCTACATTGAATAAAAGGATGATAGTGCACTTTTCTTAGCAGGCACGTAGCCAGGATTTTGTTTCGGGGAGGCGGGGGGGGGGGGGGGGGGAGCGCCCATGACAAATGCTGTATGAGGGGGCGGGGGGAGAGGAGATCCAAGCAAAATGGACCATTTCAGGAAAGGGGGGGGGGGGGCTGGGCCCCATGCCCCCCCCCCCCCCCCCCCCCTGGCTACGTGCCTGCTTCTTAGGTTAAAAAGAGTGGGGGGAAAAGGAAGTTGCAAAAGTAAGAGCAGGCAATCTCGTGAACTCAGGGCTCTATTATGCGAGATTCCGCCCTGGCTATCGAGATAACACGGGCAGACCCAGCAAACATTTTCACGGAATGAGTAAACGACCCGTTATTTTACCAAGCGGGGTTTTGTTGCGGTAACAGCACACGTACCCGAACACAAGGATGGCGCCGCTGCAGATGTAAAACATGACTAGTATAGATAGTGACTTCTTCTTAATCCTTTGTCTTGGAAAAAATCACAATGTAAAATGCACCAGTGTGGTGCTACAGCATCACACTGGTGCATTTTACATCGTGATTTTACACGCATTTGACATGCAGTACTGGGACTGCATTTTACATGGAGTCTCAGTACCAGAGTATACTCTGGTACTGGGACTGCATAAAATAGCACCGCAGTTTTCTTTCTTTGCTTTAGGTGCTTGCAAATGAAACATTATAGTATCACTGAAGTCAATACTAATTATGTAATGAAAACGTATCTTTGAAGGTAATTTAATTGCATTTCTAGGCAATATGCATTGTAATATACTAGGTATGTTTTGCGGGGAAAGTCACCTGAGTGGTACTCTCAATACGGTTTGAAGCAGTAACCTGGTAACTTATGTTAAATACTATTGTCAAGTACCTTGTACAACACTGCTCCAAAGCCACACGCCGAAGCCAGACATGTTGATTTCTTTCACCCATTAGCAGACCCGCAATCTAGAAAACGCGATTCTGGAGTGCTCCAAAACGACGACTGGAAATCAAACACTCTCACAATAGTTCTAATACCTCATCCCCTATCCAATGCTATCACTCGTTCATTTAATACCTAAGGTTTATAACTTATAAAACACGCATTAGATTTTTTTTCCCGTCCGCGAAATGGTAATAGCAAAAACATTTTTTTTTTTTTTTTTTTTAGGAAAACGAACAGGTTTTACATGCTCAAATTGGAGCATATCCCCGCCACGGTGCCCCGCGCTGGGGTTGGCAAAGCCATGCAAAGCACTGTGCAAGTGCTGAGATCTACGCATTGCTAGGATTCTGCAATTTCCGTCCAATTTTGAGCCACAACACAAACGTCCACCGAGGCATTGATTGTCACGAGCTCAGATCGAGTGCTCACGCAGTGTTCGTGTTCAGTCTGTGGGCCGCAACACCAGCTCGGAGCACGTGGAGCGAAAGCTCGCGCTGCAGAACCCAGGATCCTGGGTTCAATCCCCACCGCTACCCGTTTCGATCTGGATGAGCATCGTACCGGCGTGCGGTCGTGTATTACTACTGCGCGGTGCACGTTGAAGACCCCAGGCTAGCGGTTGTACTGCACTGGCTAAATTTCTCATCTAAAGATAGGAGACTTTAACGAAGAAAGGGTAAAAGCACAGGCGAGCTGGTGAAGAACTTCCATCGTAAACCGGAGACACGGAAAAATAAAAAAAACGGACAAAACAACAACAAGTCTCAAAGACTTGAGACTTGTTGTTGTTTTGTCCGTTTTTTTATTTTTCCGTGTCTCCGGTTTACGATAGGAGACTTTGCCTCCCCGGAGGCAGACCAAGTTCTAGGCTGTATAAACATACACACAACCTAAAAATTGTGGCCGCATTTAGGTATTGTCACACTCTGAAAATCACCAAATGGCTATCAATAATGCGACCGCCATACGTGCGCGGAAAAGGTAACCTTACAGGGGCTAATACAGGAAAAGTTCCCGAGGAACGAAAATGGTTCGTGGTAATAGTAGCTTTAAATCAGATACGTGATGTCAGTCCTACGCTATTACAATCCCTGTGAATATTACGTCCTTTATTGTGGTAAAAAAATGCTCTAGATTTTTGCCAAATAAATTCGTAGAACTGAATAAAAAAATTGTCTGAGTTAGGAATAAAAAGTACACGTCCCTATGATTCAAAGTTATATTACTTTCGTATTATTGCTGTCTATCGCTATCCCTGGGAATATCACGATCTACGCAGTTTTTTTGACTGGAATTTATCTTTTACAGCGTTTAACGGAGAGCAGGCGAGAGAGGGCGCAAGGTGCCCATGGGCAAGAAAGCTGGAAATGAAATGTTTCCACAAATTCCTCTAACCCGCACATATCTTCAAAACTTTTAAGTCCTTTTAGCACGCCAATAACATGGTTGCCACGGTGTTATGCCGGCATTTCTTTCAAATCAAATATATTTATCCACAATATGTCACTCTACTAACCTGTTGAAGCTAAGTGCATGTGGTTAGAAAACATATACCTGACTACTTTCTTTTTCTTTTTTCAGGGAAGGCGTTCCGTTAATCAAAGAAGAGGTGCTCCGGCTGCGTGACACACGTCCTGAAGATATGGAATGTTTCTATCGGGAGATCTACCGGAACGACACTCTCGACAAGCCCGATGAGAAATATTTCTATGGAAGGAAAGTCCCGTTGAAGTTCGGCGAACGTCTGAACAAAGAGTTTATGTTCGTGGAATGCTCCCTAAAATCGAACCTGGCAAAAGTCTTCCACGATCAGTTCTTGCTCAACCCCATATTAAAGGCAAATGTGGAGTTGCGATGCCAAGGCGCTTCTAAGAGGGCGTCGCACAACTTGAGCGTCTTGGTCCTAGGTTTGGATTCGGTGTCTAATTTGAACTTTGTGCGGCACCTACCACAGACTGGAGCTTATGTTCGAGATGGGCTCGACGCATTCGAACTCTTTGGCTTTAACAAAGTCGGAGACAATTCATTTCCAAATCAACTTCCACTTATTACTGGAATGAACGCTGCGGAGGCCTATAACGCTTGTACAGATAAATTCTTCGACAATATCAATCTCATTTGGAAGATGTATGCTGGGCGTGGCTACAGGACTATGTTTCTAGAAGAGTCTCCTTTTTACGGCCTGTTCAATTATTTCTTAAACGGCTTCCACGAGGCTCCCGCCGACTACTATCCCCGACCTCTCATTCAAGCAATGGACGATTCTCCCAGAAAGCGGTATGCATTCGACGATGTGCGCTGCCTAGGACCTCACATGCCCTTCGAGATGCTGCTCGATTACCTTAGCCGATTCACAATTCAAATGAATGGCCGACCATTTTTTTCATACGCCTGGATCAGCGAGACAGCGCACGACTCGTTCAACGCAGTTGGCTACGCGGATGCACCCTTCCTCAAGCACTTCCGCACACTCAACGACTCTGGAGTGCTCAACCACACCGTGGTGGTATTCCTCAGCGACCACGGACTTAGGTTTGGCGACGTTCGGTCGACGTTCATAGGAAAGTACGAAGACAGGCAGCCCTTTGCGTTTCTAATCTTTCCGCGATGGTTCCTGGAGGCTCATCCCGATGTCGCGAGGAACCTCCGACGGAACCAGCGGCGACTCACGACGCATTTCGACGTTCACGCGACGCTTCTGGAGCTCCTTGACTTTCCGCAACAACAACCGCCTCCGCGAACAAAGTACGGCATCAGTCTCTTCCATGAGGTACCGGAAACGCGGACCTGCGCAGAGGCTTCCATTTCGCACCACTGGTGCACTTGCCAAGCGGATGGAGACACGGATGTGACGCCAGCATTCGCCATGTCCCTCGGAGAGCGTCTCGTGGATCAAATCAACGAGTGGGTTCGAAAAGAACCCCGCAAGTGTCAACCGTTTCATCTGGTTGACCTAATGGACGTCACGGCTTTGCAGCCGACCCAAGAAGACAAGACGTCCAACGTCAGCCATTACTGGGTGACAGTGCGGGTGTCCCCAGGTGGAGGCGTCTTTGAGGCGACGCTTCGAGTCGACGGACGTGCAGAAAACATATCCGTGTTGGACCAAGTGAGCCGGTGCAACTGGTACTTTGGTCAGTCGTACTGCGTGGCGGACCACTGGTTGGAAAAGTTTTGCTACTGTAGACGGACGTTCGGATTCTTGCTGTGATACTACTACGCGCTTGAGAGGGGAGAGTGTGAAGGTTGTTGATTAGCACTGGATGACGACTGGATGACGATTGAAAGAATAAAAAGCACATAGGGCAAAAGACAAAGACAGGCGATCACTCTTTTTGAATAGGCCATTTTCAAAATTCAGTGTCCTCTGGTGGCTAAGAAAGCAGTTTCAGTTTTGACATACTAATAGTAGCCATGAAACTGTATTTCATCAGGCACCGTCACTTTTGCACGTGATAGGCACATAACAATTGGCTCTTTGATCACGTCGATAATTGCTTATTTATTTGTTTCAGTTTTTACGATGTGAAAATAGGAAGTGACCAGTACAAAGCGGCGACCGATAAGTCTTTTGATAAAATTTCGGCAATCAAAAGACTTTGGAGCCAAACTTCATGCGTCGCGTTGTACTTACGTCTCGAACGTACAGACCTCATGTTCTCCAATTGGTAGTATCTTCAACGTTTTCCTTCATCAGCCTCAAGGACGTCGCATTTAGTTTGGCACATATGTCATACACTGCGATAAATATAGTGATCAAAGTTGCCAGAATGAATTTTGAAACGACTCAATTGTCGCCTCACCTTGTCCTTTGTGCTTTTATTCTTTCAAATGAAGGTATTCCATTCATGAGACGCTCACCTCAATTCAGTGATTGTGGCTTATGTTGTCTTTCATACCGAACGATTCTGAGCAAAAGTGCATTGAAAAATTCCATTTTACACCTTATGCAACACTGAGTTAGTGGGCTGCTCTTCCGTGCCGCCGTTGGCTGAAAGTTGTGCCTGTTGGCACAACTTTGTACCAACGGCGTGCCGCCGTTGGTACAAAGAAGTCACAATAAGAGTTCTGACATAAAGGAAGCATTAAAAGAAGCATGAAAGCAAGTTGTTGCGAAAAATGCGAACAGCTTGATTAAAATAACACTTTAATTTTTATTTTAAATGTTAACCCGAAGTTTGCGAGTCTTATGATTAACGAGATATGCCACTTTAAAAGGAAAATGTTTAAGTTTCAATATATATATATATATATATATTATGTAGTTAGTAAGCCGCAAAACGTGGAGCCTCCGCTCGGTCCGTTACATGAATTTCAAACTTGTGGCATTTAAGATCTTTTTACGTTTTCTACAATTTTTACCTCTTTTAGTTGGCCATCACAAGCGTGCTATCTGCCAAACATGACAACTTTACACGTGTGTTGCCCTGGCTCACTTCGGCTTCTTTGACGGTCGTTTCAAGCGCACCAGTGCTCACCACTCCATGCTTGAGGTCATGGAGGTAGGAAGCTTCTCGAGGTGACATGATGCCACAGGAGGTGAAGCCAGAAGCGTGGAGGAGACACGCCTTCAACGATGACCAAAACCACAGCTGCTTTTGGTCACCCTCGGGTGGTTGCGTCATGTCACCTCCGGAGTCTTCCTACCTCCATCCTTCAGGTCCTGCGGGATTAGTAGGGTCAGTGACAGCTCAAGAAACGCAGGGTATTGCTTATTTTGTTTGTGCATCATGCTTCGTGATTTGTCCTTCGGCGTTCTTATCGGTCAACGGCGATATCTCATTGGCCTCTGAGCGACGATAATATGCTCGGTCCACAGGCAATCTTGATGATTGTCTCTAGCGAGGTTGTGAGTGGAATAAGGTCTCCGTTAGTTGACTTTCAGGAACTCCACCGTTGACGTTCCGCAAAACGTAACCGCTATACTTGTGACGATTTTTTTTTCAAATTGATTTGAGGAACGAATGAAAAGTTGTGGTATATTTTTATAGCATTCTCTTTGTGGTAGTGTAAACCATTCTATCGAAACTTCATTCCATTTGTTTCACGTACCTACGAACTGAACACAAACATCTAAAAGTGATTTCTTCAGTATTTGAATATTCATTCCACTTTTACTAAATAGACTACTTGAAAAGAAACAGTTTCCGGCACGTGAAGCATAAAAAGAAAGATACCCCCCCTTTCCCTCAAATTTAAACGCCGTTATCAAAGCATACAACCTTTCAAAAACAGCTCTTCTATTTTTTATGCATACCTAAAATATTTCCCATTTGCAGATCGCAGCTAGTTCTGTTATAGACGCTTTGCAGCAGCTGTGCATGGACGCCGCCATAACTGACCTTCTGTTCTTGTTTCCTCTTATGCTGTTTATTTGACTTTATCATTACCATAGCAGGCCAGGTTATTGCCACATTAGATTCAACTCTGTCCTTTTCTAAAGCATCGACCTTTGTAGAGGATCGTCAACTGCCGTTTCACTTGTTCGGCATCTCGGTAAGACAAGAGAAGGTCAGCAATGGCGGCTGTAATTTGGCGTGTGTGTAAAGCGTCTATAAAACAAAATCTTGAAATTCGGCGACATTTTTTTGTAGTGGAACCGGTTTTCAGTCATTGACAAATATTTTTGAGAGACGGCATTCTTCTCTTGAGAAAGGCAGTAACCTCCCGTAAACATGACCTGCAGTCAGACCTCAATAATTGCATTCCATACTACAGCATGTTAACTAACGGTTTTAAGGCAATTTAGACGGCCCGCAAAAGTCGATTTCTGAACGTGTAACGCTGCCATGTATTACAGAGGTGCAAGTAAGTGGTGGCAATTGACACCAAAAAAAGCTAACTTACCTTAAAAAAAAAGAGAAGCCTTTCTTTTTTTTACGATTTACGCCGCCATTTCACAGACGACGCACTCGTAGTGAAAAGTGCTGCCGACAGATGGCGTTCGCCGCGTCGAGGGAGCGCCAGCCGATTCGGTTTCTATTGCAGAATCGTCTGCTATCATAGCCCGAACCTATGGAGGTAGGAAGCTTCTCGAAGCGTCATTAAGGCCACCAGTGGTGTAGCTATAAGTGGGGAGGGATACGCCCCCAAAGATGACTAAAACGACCAAAACCAAGAGACGCTATTGGACGGAAGGGAGAGAACTCTCCATGTCGTCCAATAGCGTCTCTTGGGTTTGGTCATCGCTGGGGGCGGTCCCTCCATGCTTCGGGCTTCACCTCTGGTGGCGTCATATCGCTTCCAAAAGCTTCCTACCTCCATGCCCGAATCGGCCGGCGCTTCCACAACACTGCGTAGGCCATCTGTAGGCAGCACTTCTCACTATACGCGCATCGCCTGCGAAGTGGCGGCGGAGATTGCCAAAATAGGTTTCTGTTTTGTTTTCTTTTGAAAGAGGTAAGCTCGTTCCTTGATATTTTTACAGTAAACTTCCACTACCCGGTTGCAGCTTTGCAGTGAATCGCAGCGCGATGCGTTAATAAATTCATTTTTACGGGCCGTCTAAATTACCTTAAAAGCGCTGGTTTACATGCTGGATATGCCATCATATCTACGATTAATGTATAACAACGCCATGCTTACTTCGTATCTCGATATATTGAATCACCAACACGATAAAGTAAATGCCCGTTCACCCACTTACGTCTGCTTACGACCGAGTTCTTTTGATCTTTTATGGCGAAAGAACACACTGGCACTCTGGCGCCATCTATGAGGCGAGACTGGAACTGAATTTAAAATAATAATTGTTTGTATGTTTAGACCACCTCTCCTGGGCCCTACCCTTTCTCTCCACCCCAAAATAAACGACATGTATGTTTAGACAGCTAGTCAGCCTCAATGAGCGTGTGGTGCACTCAGCTGTATACGGACTGTAAGTTCGTCTGCTTCTTTTTCAGGAATTGCGGTGATGTCAGAATAGCGAGCTCTGATTGGCTCTGATCGAAGGATAGTGGGTAGGCCTCAAGGTAGTTTGCTTTGAGCTCTACCCACTATCCTTCAATCAGAGAAATCGTAACTCGGCGTCGTTCTGACGTTCCCGCAACCCCTGCAAAAGAAGCAGACGACTAGCTTTCCGCATAGAAGAAATTTCGACAGTTCAATCCAACTGCAAGCCTGGGGTCTATCACGCTGTAGGGATACACGACCGCACGACAGTGCAATGCTCCTGCCTATAAAAATGGGCGGGGGTGGGGATTAAACCCAGACTTTCTGGGTTCTGGAATGCGAGTTTTCGCTCCACGGGCTCCTATTCGGCCACCGATCTCCCGAACTGCATTTCACTAAACAAAGGTTTTGCGGTATTTGCGAGATCAAACATACATACAGTCTGCGAGAAATGGTTGTTTATAAGATCGTCAAAAACGTTTCTCAAGCTAAAAAAAAAACAAAAAAAAAAAAACCAATGAATTGCGCACGAGGGAAAAAGATGAGGAAATATACGAAAACTGAAAGTGTTCCGCGACTACCCGGTAGATGACGCCAGTGTGTTCCCTCTGCTTAAGATATTTTACGAGGTTTTTAAGGCACACGGCCATAAGCAGTCGGAAGTGCGTGAACCAGCCTTAATCCGAAAACACGCCAAGTATTGGGAAATACTTGACGTGAGTTTAAACCCCTACCGATAGCGGAATATATACATATATATATTTCTAACTTAAACTTAAAACTTCTCATAATAACCCCCCCCCCCCTATCACTCATGCTTCTATTTGCGAGGGTCGATGATACTAGAGCCTATAAATAAGCGACGCTTGAGATGCGACGGCACCTGTGCCATCTTGGTGCTTGAGATCATTCTTACCAGTTATTCGAGGTTCTATCTGGGCCGGCTTGCGAGAAACGTCCTCTCAGCTGAGACTGGATTAAAGGGAGCACTGCCAAAGCCAGCGCACGAGCTGAGCGGTACTCAAACCGAGTCTCAAGACGTTCGCGCGCCCCAGCCTTTGCAGTGCTTTCTTTCACCCAGCCTCAGCCGAGACGCTGTTCTAGCAAGCCGGCCCTCCGATTTTCCGTCCCCCCCAGGAACGAACAGTTCGCGACAGAACTAAAGCAGGTCTTCTTCGGTTCCCGACAACGTATCCAAAGCTCAGAAAATCCTCAATTTTTAATCGTAAATATTGTCCATAGTACCATAACGACTCTAGATACAATAATGGCGGCACGAGGTACCACAATGGTGGCGCCCACAACCGGGGAACGAGGTGT